ATGAACCTCCTTCCGTTCCCGCGACCTTTTAACCTCAAGGTCAAGTACGAAAACAGCGATGACGACGACGACGACGATGAGGAGGAGGAGGACAAAGATGGCGGCTTTCTCGGTAGATTCTTCAATGGCGGGAAGAAGACCAAGAGAATGAAGAAGAAGAAAGTTGTGGATGCAAGAATCGTGACAACTAACCTGGACCCCTTACAGCATTTCGCAGACTATTCTATCCACCACAAACATTGCGACCAGCCCGTCGTTGTGATTGGGCCGGGCAAAACGGAAGCTGTCGTCAACAAAATGGCCGAATTCATCATTGATGGGGCTGCTGGAGGTTTCTTACGTCATTATCATTGTCATCGTCTTTCTTATCTTCATTATCATCATCTCAATTGTTTTCGTCATCTCCATTGTTTTCATCATCATCGTCACCATCATCGTCATCATCATCGTCATCATCATTATTACCATCACCGTCATCGTCATCATCACCAGAACCAACGATCCATTTGACTGGAGTGGAAGGAGACATAGAGGTTCAGTGCAGCAAACTGACCTCGTGCAGATACCACTGCTCCTACATACCACAAAAAGAAGGTAAGATGATGAATCAACTGTTTAACATAAATTATTCACTCCCTCAGGCAAGTACCATCAACTAATTAACATAATTTATCCTCCCACTCAGGCGTATATCTTCTGAACATAGCGACAGGGGGCTTGAACGTTCCAGGTTGTCCTTTTAAAGTTCAGGTCACAAACGGTTCAGAGCCCTCACTGATTGTTGTGGCCCCTGAGTGCCCTGACGGCAAGAACATGATTGCTGTGGGGCCTGGTCTCGGCACGGTCTATGAGAAAAAAACTGCTGAGTTCATCATTGATGGGACCGATTGTGAAGGTTGGATGGGGAAGTTGTTTTTCACCAATCAATCAGTCAATTGATCAATCAATCAATCAATCAATCAATCAATCGATCAATCGATATTTCAGAACCCCCGAAGATAACGCTGACTGGCACGGGTGGAGATGTGATGGTCCAATGCAACAGAATGAACGACCATCTCTTCAAGTGCTCCTATGTTCCTGAAAAAACTGGTTGGTTGTCAGTTTGTACTTGAGTACTTACTCGAATGCAAACGTACCTAAGAGTACTTAAGTACGTCTGTACTTGTATAACAAAATGTGTCCATTCATTTGTTTATGTGGGAGTATGATTGAAAAATTTCATTCCAAAATATGTTAACAAACATGTGTCATGTGTGATTCGTCGCACGTGTTTTTAGCACACATATGTTTAAATGTTTGTTTGTTTCTTGTATGTCTTTGTGTACAACAGCCGTTATGGAAATCAATAGAAAGATAAAATAAAGATAACGAAAATGTATTTATTTTTTATTCAAGTATTTTACTAATCAATCAATCAACTAACCAACCAATCAATCAGGAGTCTACCTAATGAATATTCAAATCAAAGGCGTCAACATTCCGGGGTCACCTTTCAAGGTCACAGTTCTGCCGGAGGATGTCCCCAAGCCACCCAGCTGCGCGGCTGTGGCGGTAGGGGAGGGACTTATTTTTGGCAGCAAGAACAAAAGGGCGGAGTTTGTTATTGACGGAGTTGTTGCTGGTCAGTTTCAACATCATTGCAATCATCATTCTCATCATCGTCGTCATCATCGTCTTCCTCCTCATCTTCATTATTATTACTATTATTATTATTATTATTATTATTACCAGGAGAGCCAATGATATTGTGCCAGGGACCAGCCGGTCCCATGCAAGTCTCATGCGCCAAGCAATCTGACACTAGATACGTCTGCTACTTCTACCCTAAAGATGCTGGTCGGTCGATTGATAGATGATTGATTGGTGGATTGATTGGTTGATGGATTGATTGGTGGATTGATTGATGGAATACTTTATTGATTTTTTTGTCAAGTTAGTTAATCAAATTCACCAGTCAAATCAATTCACTCATTCACCATAAATTAACCCATCCACAATTTAATCACACCACACTAACCATCCAACACACAGGAACGTACATAATCCACATTTCCGTTGGGGGCACTCCAGTTTGCGGGTCGCCATTCAACGTGACAGTGACAGACGAGGATCTGGAGGGCCCTTGCTACCCCGAGAAAGTTCTGGTCATTGGGCCTGGCGTCAGTTTCGCGGTTCCTGGCGTGACGTCTGAATTTATTATTGATGCTTCGGCCGCAGGAAAAGGTGCACACAATCAATCAATCAATCAATCAATCAATCAATCAATCAATCCATCCATCAATCAACCAATCAATCAACCAATCAATCAACCAATCAATCAACCAACCAGGCGATCCTGCCGTGGAGTTAATGGGACCAAATGGATTAGTCCCGACTCAAGTTATCAGATTGTTCGACAACATATATAGATGTATATACACTACGACTATGCGTGGTATGTATTTGTGTGTGTGTGTGTATGTGTTTGCGTATGTGTGTGTGTGCCTGTGCGTATGTGAGTGTGTGCGTGCATGTGTAGACATGTATGTATGTATATATTT